CCATCCCTCCCCAATTCTCTTCTCTGTACACACCTTTTCCGCCGCGCACACAATGTCGCTCCGATCGTCTTCGAGCCGCCTTCTGGCGCGCACTGCCACGCAGGCCGTCGCCGCCCCGCGCGCACCGGCGCTCGCCACCGCACGCGGCCTCACCACCGCCTCGCACACCGCCGCCTGGAACGCCGTCGCCACCAAGCCTGCCGCGCAGAAGCTCGTCTCTGCCGTGCGCGCCTTCTCGAGCTCCTCGGCCGCCGCGTCCGACTTTGAGTCGCCGTTCGGCGTCAACTCGCTGAGCAAGTTCACCGAGGAGGAGGAGATGCTGCGCGAGGCGGTGCAGCGCTTCGCACAGGACGTCGTCGCCCCGCGCGTCGAGGCGATGGACGAGGCCGAAAAGATGGACCCCGAGATCATCAAGGGCCTCTTTGAGCAGGGCCTCATGGGCGTCGAGACCTCGGCGGACCACGGAGGCGCAGGCTGCTCCTTCACCGCCGCCATCATTGTGATCGAAGAGCTCGCCAAGATCGACCCGTCGGTGAGTGTGCTGTGCGACGTGCACAACACGCTGGTCAACACGGTGATCCGCAAGTACGCCAGCAAGCACATCCAGGACAAGTACCTGCCCCAGCTCTCGGAAAAGTCGCTCGGCTCCTTCTGTCTCTCGGAGCCGGCGTCGGGATCGGACGCGTTTGCGATGAAGACGAGCTGCAAAAAGTCCGACGACGGCAAGACGTGGACGCTCAACGGATCCAAGATGTGGATCACCAACTCGGCCGAAGCCGAGTTTTTTATCGTCTTCGCACAGAGCGACCCCGCCAAGGGCTACAAGGGCATCAATGCCTTTGCCGTCGAGAAGAGCATGGGGGTCGAGATTGCCAAGAAGGAGAAGAAGCTCGGCATCCGCGCATCCAGCACGTGCACGCTCAACTTTGACGACATCCAGGTGCCTGCCGAGAACCTGATTGGCGAGGAGGGCAAGGGCTACAAGATTGCCATTGAGATCCTCAACGAGGGCCGCGTGGGCATTGCGGCGCAGATGATCGGTCTGGCGCAGGGTGCCGTGGACAAGGCGGTGCGCTACGCGGCCGAGCGCAAGCAGTTTGGCAAGAAGATCACCCAGTTCCAGGGCATGCAGTTCCAGATCTCGCAGATCATGATGGAGATCGAGGCGGCCAAGGCGCTGACGTACAATGCGGCGCGTCTCAAGGAGGAGGGCAGGCCGTTTACCAAGGAGGCAGCCATGGCCAAGCTGTTTGCATCCCAGGTCGCCCAGCGCGCCAGTGGAAGTGCGATCGAGTGGTGTGGCGGCGTAGGCTTCACGCGCGAGACGGGCATCGAGAAGTTCTGGCGCGACTCGAAGATCGGCGCGATCTACGAGGGGACGAGCAACATCATGCTCGAGACCATCTTCAAGCTGGTGGAGCGCGAGATGGATCTCAAGTGAAAAAAAAAACCCCTTTTTGGCAAATGGCAATTGATAGTGGTGTGTTTTTTTTTTTTTTT